TTTGCCATTGCCATTCCAAGGCTGAGAGAGTGTGACTCACCCAAGGCCTTTACAGACTGCCAGAAATAACATTCCAAATCATAACTGTAGCAAAATTACAGTTTTGAAGTAGCCACCAAAATTTTTTTTTTTGGTTTGGGGTCACCACAACATGAGGAACTGTATTGCGGGGTCACAGCATTAGAAAGGTTGAGAACCACTGCCTTAATGGAAAAGGTAACATGTGCTCTTAAATCAAAAAGAGAAAATAGAAGGGATGATAAATTTTGGACAACATGGTATCCATTTATTCAGCATACAAATGCAAATATAGAAACAATAGAACCTCAAGACACACATGTTTGGCAAGATATTTTTTGAAATAGATAGATACACTTGCAATTAGAATGAGATCCAAAGAATAAATAACATTTGGAAAAGTAGAGAATTGATAAACTATAATGAATCCTATATTTGCTATAGATAAACCATCATGGAATGGTAGGGTGTTGGACTGCAACTCGGGAGATCAGGGCTTGATTTCTGCTCAGCCATGGAAACCCACTGAGTGTCCTTAGGCAAGCCACACACTGAACAAATATTGCCAGGAAAACCCTGTTGTAAATTCACTTTAGGATTGCCATAATTCAGTAATGAATTGAAGATACAAAACTACAGTAGAGAAGTAATGCTATGTTCTTTGCATTTGTTGTGCTTTTTGACTATTTTTTGTTTTGTTTCTGCCTCTGCAGAGGGGCGGGACATAAATAATAATAATAATAATAATAATAATAATAATAGGATTTTTTTCTTCATCTGGTAGTGAAATAAAGACATAAAGCTCAGCACAAAAGTCAGAATCATAGGAGCCATCATATTCCCTATTACTATGTATGGATATGAGAGCTGAACAATCAAGAAAGAAGATAGGAGGAAAATCAATGCATTTGAGATGTGGTGTTGGAGAAGATGGTGAGGATCCCATGGACAGCCAAAAGGACAAACAAATGGGTCCTAGAGCAGATCAACCCAGAGATATCCCTAGAAGCCAGGATGACAAGACTTAGACCAGGGGTCGGCAACCTACGCCCCCCGGGGCAGTTCCGGCCCAGGACGCCGGACTTACTGGCCGAGGCAGACCCCTGCCACCACCGCCGCCGTTGCCGCGCCGCCTCTGCCGCCCGTTTTTGTCGGCGCGCAACTGCGTGCGCCCCGGGCAGCATTTTGTTATTCAAAATGCCGGCCGTGACGTGTTTGCGCATGCGCAGGATTTGTGCATGTGCAAACATGTCGCAGCCGCCATTTTGGATAACAAAATGCCAGCCACGGCGCACGCGGTTGCACGGCGATGAAAGCGGGCGGCGGCGATGGCAGGGGTCCGCCTTGGCCAGTAAGTCCGGGGACCTCGCGCGCGTCAGTGGAGGGTGCGCACGGGGAGGTCCCCGGAATTACTGGCCAAGGCGGACTCCTGCCGCCGCCACGCTGCCAGCCGCTTTCGGTGCCATGTGACCGTGCACACTGTGGCTGGCATTTTGTTATCCAAAATGGCGGCCACGACGCGTTTGCCCATGCGCAGGATTTGCGCATGCGCAAACGCGTTGTGGCCGGCATTTTGGATAACAAAATG